GGGCAGCTGCAGCAACTCCGTATATGGGTCGCCAGCTCTACCGAATGAGCTAACCGGGCGCCCGGAAATGACCACTTTGAAGAATGATGAGAGAGGAGGAATGATGGAAGAGATGCATCAGTCAAAATGGTGGCATGTCTGTAACAGGCACAATGCTAGATAACTCTCTGTATCTCTGCAGCCATCAGACACACTGATTCCATGAGGCCGTACATATGCATTATGCTACGCGCACATGCAGATACAGTGCAAAATGTTTAAATGCAACAAGAATGGTTAATGTTAAAGGACTTTGTCATCTATAATCTTGGGAAGTTTGAATTTGAGGCTAGAATTTCATGCAGATCTGCAAAAACTACCAACTTTTGTCTTAAACTGGGCAGATATTTCACAGACACTGAATTCTTTTAGAATCGGGCCAAATTTCTGCGAGATTGGCTGTCGCTTGAGAGTGGTTATGGCACCTGAATAACTGCCTGAATGATCAACAATCTGGCTGTTGAATGATTGGCTGGATTTTTGGCATGTGTGCAATTTTGGACATTCTGCGATCAGATTCCCAACATAGCTGCTGTGAAAAGATCCATTATAAACTGTAGAGTTTAAGCTGCACAGTTAAACGTCTCTGCGAAACAGGCAGAACATATTTTTGGATGTGCACAAAGTAATGCTGCATTTCTTTCTCTTTTGTGTCAAGATGTGACCATCTTGTTTGAATTATATTTTATTGGAATTGTTACTGGACAAAACTAATAATAATGTTCAGTTTGAGCAGCTACATTGTGTCTGGTCGATTGATCTGTACAGTGTGAGCATAGAATTTGTATCTTTGTGTAGAGACAGGGTGAACATATATTTGTGAGTTACCAAGTATATTCAATTTTTCTTTACCTGTTTACTTATTCCTATGTCGTATTTTAAACAGTGCCACTGCCAAAAAATCCATATACAATACTTGTATAAATCTAACCAGGGGGAAATAACACCACAGGACACAATTTATGAAAATGAAATAAGGGATTTATTCCCAGACCACTCAATAAATAATAGAGCAGTATTAAAGTAGCTCGAGATTTGCAGGACACCTGTTGCCAATTAATAATTTGACCTAGACTTTCTGTACTTAAAACAAAAACTGAGGATGGTTTAAAATAAAGGAACTAAGGTTGCTTATCCTTTAAATGAAATGAAAATGACTCCTGGTTCTTTTTAGATTTAGACAAAACATTCTATTCTCATCTGATTACCAAGGCTTAGGCAAACTGGGTTTAACAAAGAATAAATCCATAAACAAAACTCATGTTTTTTCAAGCACTTAAAGGGGACATATTATGCA